TTCCTTCAATGATAAGAGAGAAGGAGAGAGGTTTGGTACTGAATGTGCTAAAAAGACTGTCTTGGCGAACACTTGGATGGGTAAGAATCAATGCTCTGTGATCAATACTCCCTTGATAAAGACCACACGTTTTAAATACTGCAAGGAGTTAGCAATAGAGAGTTTGGAATACTCGATGAGATTTGTTGGGTCCGGTATGGTTCGCTAACCTCAAGGTCAGTACGGGAAAGCTAGTTTCAAAGTTGGTTTTTCTCCAAATGAAAGCAGAGCAATGGTGGATACAAGTTCTAAAGGATAAGTGAGTTTCCATGTTTTCAAAACCTCTTCACTAGTTTGGATTCGATTTGCTTGGGGACAAGCAAAGATCTAAGTCTGGGGGAGTTGATATACCTCTATTTTACATGCTTTTTATATGGTTTTACTATGCTTTTCATAAGGTTTTTAATGGCTTTCTGATCTAAAAAGGTAGTTTTTATGGATTTATAGTACTTAGAGTCTAAACAGGTCAAAAGATGCATTTTGGAGCAAAACACATGATTTGGACTTCAAGACCGCTCCAGGAGGTAGCATCAACTTAAGAAGGGCCTTAAAAACTATCTACTCAATGGAATTCATCAAATCAGTTCGAGGAGATGAATACAGGAGTTAGCTTTGCAATGCAACTGAAATCAATCAATTTTACCGAGTAGATTGGGAGATATCTCTATTTCCCTGAGACATATACCGAGGAGATTTATCGGACTGCATCAGTACATCAGACGAGCAGCAGCGGATTAGACCCTTAAACTCAATGGATTTCAATGAAACTCAACACCAAGATAGCCAGATGAGTTATTGTTCTAATGCCGTTGTAAGTATGCAATTTGGATAAGCCGTTTAGGAGATATCACGTTTGTACTGAAGACTGGTCCACAGCCGGCCGAACGCACTCGGCCGGACAGGAAGGGTATTGGCTTCGCTCGGCCTTCTCCAGGACCGATCCGGCCGCACGACCGCACCGTCCGACCCGGGAGGCAATGGACCACGATCGACCGAGATCATCACATCACGGCCGACCCCGACGGCCGACCATATCCCTTGCACGGTCGACCCGAGCTCCGCAAACAAAAAGCCCACTTATGCAGTTTCGACTATTCTTGGCCCGTTTCACCTCAACCGACTTGTGGAAGACCTAGGGCACTATATATACTCCTTTTTAGCCTCTTTAGAAGAGAGAGCCGTGATGCGGAGTCAGGTTTTATGATGATAGGTGTTTTGTGTGTGTAAGTGAAAAGATATGAGATGAAGTCTGTGGAATGCAATCAGTGGTATGAGATGAGGTGGTAATATGCAGCACAAACACAGTCAACAATTCCCTTTAACCATTATAGTTGAAGTAGTACAAAGGGTTATCAATCCAAAATGGGAAGTACTTGTCACTCTATGAGAATATGAAACAACCAGAAAGTCAAGCAAACAGGTTTTGATGAGGATGAAATACTAACAACCTAAATGAAATGAAATTCAATGCAGAAATAGAAATGAAAGCAATAGAGCAATAGCTCGACCAGGGACTCGAGTCGAGTTGGGACAGAGCACCGAGCTCGATCGAGTTGTGGGTCGAGTTAGCGAGAAAGACAGTAAAGGTAGCGACTTTAATAAACTAGAGAGAGAATTAGGGTTCAAGACAGGGTTTTGCAATCAAAGGAATCTACACTTAATCCATCCAGCTCTTAAAACTCCTTGTATCAAGGCTTCTCTTGATATTGGGCTTCTCAATGCCTAGCCAACCCTTTCCCAAGGTGAAGGCTATCAACCAAGGAGTGATCTCAGAAACAGGGGGTCAGCCAGTGAGAATCAAACCTTGGAGGCTATAGGATCATTGCCCAAACTAATCCATCCAAGCCCTTGGACCTCTATGTTCTAGAGCAAGAGATATTGGAGCTCTTAGTGGATCTTTTCCAGCGAATGCCATCACTTTGTGTGGGGAGTCGCCTAAGGACTTACAAGCCAGGGGTAGTGGTGATGTAGCCTTAAGATCTATCCAAAAGAGAGAGAATCTAGATTAAGACCATAAGCTAGGAAGATTAAGCATATGAAACCTCTAATCTATCCCATCTCAAACCCTAATGGGGAACTACTCACTAATCATGAATGTAAACACAAGCAAATGCAATAAAAGAGACATCAAAGAAAGAGGAGATGAAATTAAACAACTTTTATTGAAATAAGCAAGTGCAAATACAAAGCAAATAATCCAGGATCTAAGATTCAAGAAGCAAGAGCTTCAAGAACACAAAGATTGGATTAGAGTTGCTAAAAAGTAAAAAGGCAAATAAATTAAAGGAAACTAAAACAAAATAATGTAAAGCTTGGTTTTTTTCGTGGCTTAGAGCCTTTAAATACAAGAGGTTTTAGGTTTAGGGTCAAAGGAAAGTCAAGGGGGAAGCAACATTTTCGGGTTTGACTTTGACTCCAGCTCGATCGAGTTGAAGCTTGGCCGGTCGAGTTGAGGAACTCGACCGGTTGGTCGAGCTGGTCTTCAAGATGGCTTCTCCCTTGTTCCCTTGCGTCTCCAGTTGAGCTGCTTCCATGTGCCAAGTCCCTCCATGCTCCTTATGTCTCATATGCTCCAGAATGCTCCAAAAGACCTGTTTTGAGGACCAAACATGCATATGTATGCAAATGCAACCTAAAACTAACATGAATGCATACGAAGAGAAAAGGAACAAGATATGATGCAAATGGATGCTAAAACTATGCAAAAGATGCATAAAAGATGTGCTAAAACTATGCAAAATGCAAGTACATCATTTTACCAAACTCCTAGACCTCTGCAAGTGCACAGATCGCGGAAGTATGGGTATCGAACACAAGGACTGGCTATTGAGTACACTTTGTAACTATGGATTTTGGATCAAGCTAAAACAAAAGTATGATTGAGGTTGTAATGGTGAACCGAACTAGCAAGTATAACGAGGTTGTAAACAATAAAGGAAAAGCGCTAGGTCATAGGGGCTATCGCAGAGAAGCAAGCAATGATCAATGAAACAATGATAGATTAATTGATTAGGGATATTGGGATATTAAGAACCATCTAGAACACAGATCACGAATATAAAACCATTCCACTTTCGAGGCTCCGGCTCCTTTGCTAATCTACCTAGTCGCTAAACTTTTGGTATGTCCCTAGGTGATTAGATCAAGCATTAGAATGAATAGGTTCTGATACAGTTCACTAGATATAGATAGATCAACTTTCGCAGTCTAAGAAACCTAGCTTGTCAAAGAATATGTCCGGCGAATGATACAGCACTGTCGAGGCTCAAATCAACCTAAGATCGGATTACTAGATGCGCGGTAAAGCAATCAGCATTAGTTAAGTGCACAAGACGAGACAAAGACTCTAATATAATCCCTAGCTAATCATTGAAATCAAAGATCATGCAAGCAACTCATTGAATAGTAACCCTAGCAACCTAACTAGTGGATTACTCAGACATGATCAAAGCAAACACACATAGAGATGAAGAAAACATGATTGCAATAAAACTTAGAGTAGGAAATCGAAATACAAGGGCGGCTCTCTTTTCAAGAGGCTAAAAATCCTATATATATAGTGCTAGGTCTTTCTAGAGGCGGCTTAGGGTTAAGCCGGGCTTGAAAATATGAAATTGGGCTTCAAAAGGGCTTCGGGTCGACCGCGGCGTTGGGACGGTCGTCGGGACGATCGGCCGGACAATCGGGTTGTGGCCGAGTCGGAACGGTCGGGCCGGACGGATTCACGGTCGGCCGGCTGGTCGGTGGAAAGATTTGGCCGATGTTCTCGGCCGGACGTGGGACGTTCTTTCCCGGCTCGGACGGATGCATCGGCCGTGGTACGCGAACGGGTTGCGCGGCCGCGAGGCTTGTTCCCGGCTCGCGCGGCTGGTCGTGCGCGGCGTGGCGTGACGTTGGCTTGGCCGACCGCGGGACAATGTTTCCCGGGTCGTGTTGCGTGATCGGCCGGTTTGGACTTTGGCCGAGACTTCAGACGGACGGATATGATTTGGCCGAGCGCGGAACATCGTTCCTCGGCCAGCCGGACTGCGCGGTTGGGCGCTGATTCTCGATAGAGCCGTCTGGACAGTCTTCACTCTTTTGGTTATAACTCCTTTTCTACTCATCCAAATTAGGCCGTTCCAGTTGCGTTGGAAAGTTAACTCAATCAGAGCACGCAGGGAACTGGTCTTGATGAAATCCATTGAGTAGATCTTTTTCTGGGCCCTCTTAAAGTTGGTGCTTGTGCATGGAGCGGCTTGAAGTGCAAATCCTATGGTTTTGCTCCAAAATGCATCATTTCACCTGTTTAGACTCTAGACACTATAAACACAGTAAAACTACCTTTTTAGATAGAAAACCTGCCAAAAACCATTAGAAAACAATGCTAAAACAGTATAAAAAGTGGGTAAATTAGAGGTATATCAACTCCCCCAGACTTAGATCTTTGCTTGTCCTCAAGCAAAAAGAATCTAAATCCGTGAAAGAGGTTTGAAAACGTGGAAACTCCCTTGCTCTTTTGAATATCCTGTGAAAGGTTCCTTTCCTGTATTCCACTATGAACATAGACAACATAAGGTTAGCTTCACATACACCCTGCAAGTTTAGCGAACAATACCAACCCAACTAGTCTCATCCAGCAATCCAAACTCTCTATTGCTAACCTCTTGCATAAATTTAAAGCGTGAATTCTTTATCAAGGGGACATCGATCAATTGAACTTGTTCTTACCCACTTGATCCTCTCCAAGATTGCCTCTTTAAGTGCAATGAGTTCTTTTCCTCTCTCTTTCTCACATCAGAACTTTGAAAGGTCAATTTATCCCTACTTTTCTAGGGTATCATTTTATTTTTTCTATTGACCCTTCTTTCAACCACAGGATAAGTCTTTAGCTTGTTCCTTGTTTGACTAAGGTATTCCATAAGACATGAAGGTACAGACATATGCATTCCTCATGCTTACTTGTTTTCCTTGTGCTCTTTGAGCTTTTTCTCATAAACATTACTTACCATTTGGGATGGGAGAGAGAGGAGAACTCTTTAAAGATTAGACAAATCTTATTGAAAATCAAGCAAGGAACTGTCGACATGTATGCCAACCCCCTTGACAAGAGTAATTAAGATTGATTAAGGGTGAGGTTAACTCTAGATTGCTTGGTTACCTTAGAAATTTTGCTGAGCTAGCATGTCGATCCACTGTAAGAGCTTCTGTTAGGCTTGTGCCTTTAGCTGGTTTCTGCTCTAGGGTCATGGATTGTTAGCATAACACTCTCAATTCTCAAAGCAAGTTCATAACTTCCGGACTGGTTTTTGACTCAATAAAACTTTTTGAAAAACATGAAACAAAGTGAATAAAACATAAGAAAAGAAAGAAAAATGCATTAGTAACACAATAAAACTCCCCCCAGACTTAACTTGCACCGTCCCGGTGAAAGCAAATCACATTAATCCTCCACACTTCCAGCAAGAAGGTAACTATCTAGATGACTTCATCTATCCTCCACACTTCCAGCAGCAATCACCACGGTTTCACCATCAAGGAAGTCAATTCCAACCTATGCAGCAGTACAATCAAGAAGGCATGTACCCAATGAAGCAGCCTTACAACTTTCCTCCAAGCGCACCTCATCCGGTTCAGCAAAATAGTGTGATTCAAGCAATGCTTCAGCAGATTGTGGATGATCAAAAAGAGATCACTAATGAATTGGATGAGAGGATGGAAAGCTTGTTCAACAGTTTCATTGACAAGAACGAGTCTCTTGCTTGTCAAATCAAGAAGATTCACACCCATGTTGATCAAACCTATGAAGATTTGAAAAGACAAGAGATGGAGGAAACAAAAGCTTTTTGTGAATTCATCTCTAGAAGGGAAGCTGAGTTCGTGCCAACCCATAAACCACCCCAGACTGCTGTTAACTTGGCTACAAGACCAGAGCAAGAGCATTACTCTTTGGACTCAACAAGAGGTTACAAGCCGAAGCCACTAGAGAAGATCTCTAACCCGGAGAAGCTTGATGTACCTTGCATCATTAATGGAGTTTTGTTCAAAGATTCCATATGTGATACAAGATCTCACATCAACATCATGAACAAAGGAATAGCCAAGAAGATTGGGATTGAAGTCAGGGATCCCTCCAAGATACCAATGCGATTTAAAGATGATCCTTATACTCTCTTCCATGGTTTCATCTCGGATCTTACACTATCCATAGGAGATCACGTCTTTAAGGCAGATTTCCACATATTAGGAGATGAAACACGACCGTGACAAGCCATTGAGTTTTGGTTCATCATTCCTTGAAGCCAATGGAGCAATCTTGGATCTTCAGAAGCAAAGAATCTCTCTCTCCAAAATCAGTAAAGCCATGTCCTATCCGGCGGTTCCTATCAAGAGCTCTCATTCTGCAGATGTGTGCGCTAGAGAGGAACCACTATCAGAGCCTAATAATGACCAAGAGGAGTTGATAGACGTCATATCAGCAGCCCTCTCATCATATCTAAGGAAATTGCCATACCGGCAAAGGCAAACTGCATTAAGGTTTCAAGTGTCTCAAGCAAGATTTTGACACCAAGGGAGTACAAGGAGGACGTGATTGATGCCACACCACAGCCTATAAGAACTTCAAGATGCTTCTCTAAGTTCAGCTTTGATTTCCAGAATAAGGAAAACAAAGAACCCTTCAAGGATGGGCTGCACAAGAAGAGGAAACTCTTTACTGGTGGTATTGTTTCTTGCAACTACATTCAAGACTTCAAGATATCCATAGGAGGAGTTTCAAACCGTCAGGTCCAGAATGTAGAGAAGCTAAAGGAGCCTCAACTCTTCTATTTGATCAATTGGTCAATTAGAAAGAGAAAGAGTCAAGCTAAAAGACTTTAAACAAGCGCTATATGGGAGGCAACCCATAAGGTGTTTTCTTTTCCCTTTTTACTTTTTGTTTTAGTTTAATGGTTTTTGTTTTGTTTTTGAAGTTTTGGATACAGAGATTTGAGAATCTAGCATGAAATTTGAGAAGAAACCTCGAAAAATGAAGAAAGGAGACAAAACCATGAAAATGTCCCACCCAAAGTCCCACCCTTGTTCAAGGCGAAATCTCCACTACAGGTAAGTAAATTCTTCTCCAATATTTCATTCATGACCACTATTAATCTCTATTCATGAGCATTTGAACCATTGCACTTCATTAGTTACATTTCATGGTCTAAATCGCTTTAAAACTTCATGGTTATTGAATGAAATATATCTCTACTTGTCAAACTTATATGATGCAATGAATTCACATAGACTAAACTATAATTTGAAGTTTGGGATCACTAACCAAGACCCAAAAATATGTTTATAGTTTTTACCTTAATCTCTTGGATTGTGAACTTCAAGCTGGTTACTTGAGGGTCTCAATCTAAGAACTATCTAATCAGTGATTTCAAGTATTTTGCAAGGATTTAATTACTTGACAGGAAGGATATCAAGAAGAAATGCTATAGCCGACCACAACCATCATACCTATGGAGGTTTAAGGAAGGTTTCAAAGGAGGATCATACCCAATCCCAAGGAACAAGGCGCGACCACATGGGAATGATAAATAAGAGTTAGAAAATCACTTTGGTCGAAGAAAATCTCAATTGGCCCGAGTGGATTTGAAGAAATTCCATCCGGCCTATTTCTCTCGGCCATGGCACATGCATGGAGAATCAATCTCGGCCAACTCCTCAACCATATGTTCAAAGTCCACCAAACTTCACAGGCGACCATAAAATCAAAGTTTGGTCGGAAAATCCAAAAGATAGGACGGTGAAATGTTCACGGTTCAGGAGATATACAGAAGAGCCCCATCCGGTCGTCCGCGGTGCAACCAAATGGCCGACAAAACCAAATCACGGCATAGGCGCGAACTCCGGCTGGAAAAGACTTCCTGGAGCTTCACTAACACATTTCCAAAGGAAGATCACAAAACGAACGAGCCAAACTCAAGGATGGCCAAGAAACCTCTTCCCGGAGCCATATTGACCACTTTGTGAAGGATCTCTCAATCCACTCGAATGCTCTCAAACTTCACCAGAGGCCATAAAATATGAGGTTGGTCGATGAAATTTCAATATGGGTCGAGGAATTATTATAGTTTGAGCTGTAGTCCATAGCACTACCCTCCGGTCGACCGAAATGTCCCATCTCGGCCAGAACGCAACCCGGAGTGAACCAGCCCTGAAATTCAAAACTCACCGACCAAAATCACATGAGGAAGTCTCCAATTCATTCATGACCTAAGGCTGGAAAGGTCAACTACATACCACCACTAGGTTGTTTCTTCATGGACTTAAGGTCTAATCAGGTTACATCTTTCTTCTCATTCACTCACACATTATTACATCTTTCTTTTTCCTCCCTTAATCGGATTTGCTTTCACCGGGACGGTGCAAGTTAAGTCTGGGGGGATTGTCGGTACTAATGTGTTTGTTCATGCCTTGTCTTCATCTTATATCTTATTCTCTTTCCCACCTTTTTCAAAAATTTCTGTTTTATTGAGTCAAAACCAGTTGGAAACTATGATCTATCTAGGAGCTTACCTTATCACACCAAAGCTCTTGTATCACAAAGGCGAATACTGAGCTGAACAATGCCTAACGGAACCTCTAAGGGTGGATCGACTACTCATTTGGCAAGATTTCTAAGGTACCCACACAATCTAGAGTTAACTCCACAACTTAATGAACCTTTAATTTTCTTGTCAAGGGGCTTGAGATACATATGAGCCGACTCCTCATTCAGGTCTAGTTGAGACATGTCAATAAAGAAACAGTCCATCCTCTCTCTTATCTGCAAAAGAAAGATCAAAAGCTTTATAGCACAAGGAAAACAAGTAAGCATGAGGAATGCATACTTCTGTACCTTCATGTCTTATGGAATACCTTATAAACAAGGAGGAAGCTTAAAGCCAATCCATGTGTCCCACAAAGAGAAATCTTAAGGGAAGGAGGATCGATAGAAAAAATAAAATGATACCCTAGAAAAGTAGGGAAAAATCGATCCTTCAATGATAAAAGAGAAGGAGAGAGGTTTGGTACTGAATGTGCTAAAAAGACTGTCTTGGCAAACACTTGGATGGGTAAGAATCAATGCTCTGTGATCAATACTCCCTTGATAAAGACCACACGTTTTAAATACTGCAAGGAGTTAGCAATAGAGAGTTTGGAATACTGGATGAGATTTGTTGGGTCCGGTACGGTTCGCTAAAACTACTATGAATGCATAAGAAGAGAAAAGGAACAAGATATGATGCAAATGGATGCTAAAACTATGCAAAAGATGCATAAAAGATGTGCTAAAACTACGTAAAATGCAAGTACATCACGTGCGCGGCGTGGCGTGAAATGTTTGGAACTTGACTGACCGCGGGACAATGTTTCCCGGGTCGTGTTACGTGGTCGGCCGGTCGACTTCGAACTTTGGCCGAGCCTTCAGACGGGCGGATATGAGTTTGGCCGAGCGCGAAACAATAGTTTCTCGGCCAGCCGGACTGCGCGGTTGGGCGCTGTTTTCTCGATAGAGCCGTCTGGACAGTCTCCACTCTTTTAGTTATAACTCCTTTTCTACTCATCCAAATTAGGCCGTTCCAGTTGCGTTGGAAATTTAACTCAATCAGAGCACGCAGGGAACTTGTCTTGATGAAATCCATTGAGTAGATCTTTTTCTGGGCCCTCTTAAAGTTGGTGCTTGTGCATGGAGCGGCTTGAAGTGCAAATCCTATGGTTTTGCTCCAAAATGCATCATTTCACCTGTTTAGACTCTAGACACTATAAACACAGCAAAACTACTTTTTAGATAGAAAACCTGCCAAAAACCATTAGAAAACAATGCTAAAACAGTATAAAAAGTGGGTAAATTAGAGGTATATCACCCTTGTGGGTTTATTCTTGAGTAATTGCTTTCATATCAATTTCCTGTTTATAGTCTTGTGAATTTGCCTCTCCTCACATCTGTTTTGCCTTTAGAACTTGTTGCATGTCTTGTTTCCAATGAATTTGAGTTTGGTAATGGTTAGGATGCTTTGGTTTTCACTAAAATTGCTTATTGTTCCATTTACTTGATGTTCTTGGCTCAATTTGATAGTTTAGCATCCTTTCCAGCTCTTAATACTTGAATTAGGATCGGTTATACTCTGTTTTCACCTAGCTCGATCGAGTTTGTCACTAGAGTTTTTTGACTCGATCGAGTTGAGTGTCGAGTTGGCCGAGCCGATCATTGCAACTCTAATTCCTTGAGTTTTTTATGCATTTCAGGAACCCAACTTCAAGAAGCAACCAGTTTAAGATGTTGAGAGGTGAGGGAAGCAAGGCCGCGTTCACAAGGAAGGAGATAGCAAGAGGAGCAAGGAGAATGCTTAAGACACTAACCAAGGAGGATGAGGAAGAGATTGAGAGGTTGAGGGAAGAGAGAAGAACCAAGAGAAGGAATGATCCTATCAGCAGTGAGAGCGAAGTAGGAGAGTTTGAAATTGGGGTGAACATTCCACAAGACGAGAGTGATGACTCTCCAAGTGAAGAAGAGGGTGAAGAGGTCAATCAAGAGATTGAGGGAAGTGAGCATGAGAGCAATGAGAATGTGCCAATGGAGGAGGCTGAATCAGAGGAAGAGGATGAGCTCCCCATGTACCAAGAGCACTACAATGCTCTTTTCTCCATGGACTTTGTGGAAACAAGGTACCCAGAGGGTACAAGAGGAACCTGAGGTGCTTGTTGCTGAGGACTTGGTCGAGCTAGACTTTACAACGGGTAGAAAGAGGGTTCAGAGGTCACAGAGGGTACAAGAGGAACCTGAGGTGCTTGTTGCTGATACAATGGATGTACCAGAGGGGAATGGAAACCCTTTGGGCAATGGACTCGGTCGAGCTAGGCAAACTCGACCGATTGGTCAAGGAGATGCTCCAAACCGCCACCAACAGAGACAAGGGATTGTTCCACCACCAGTGCAGAACCACAACTTTGAGATCAAGCTGGGAATGATCAACCTTGTCCAGAACAAGATGTTCCATGGATTGCCAAGTGAAGACCCCATTGACCACCTTGATGAGTTTGATAGGCTTTGTGATTTGACAAAGATCAATGGTGTCTCTGAAGATGCCATCAAGCTGAGACTCTTTCCTATGTCTCTAGCTGACAAAGCTCACCAATGGGAGAAGAGCTTGCCCCATGGCACAATCACCACTTGGGATGAATGCAAGAAGGCCTTTCTTGCTAAGTTTTTCTCCACCGGTCGCACAGCCAAGCTTAGAGGAGAGATATCCAGCTTCATCCAGCGAAACAATGAGACATTCGCAGAGGCTTGGGAGAGGTTCAAAGGGTACACAAGTCAGTGCCCACACCATGGATTCAACAATGAATCACTACTCTCCACTCTTTATAGAGGATGCTTGCCTAGGTATAGGGAGATGCTAGACACAGCTAGCAATGGGAACTTCCTCAACCAGGATGTAGATGATGGCTGGCAACTTGTGGAGAACATAGCCTAACTCAACAGAAGCTATGGAGAAGAGTATGATCGCACCAACTGGAGCTCGACCGCACACTCGATCGAGCTGAGGCTCAGATGCGAAAAGACTTGCACTCTCCATCGAAGTTGGACAAACTGATCCTAGCCCAATTCCCTGCCAAGCATGTCAACTCTATGTCTGAACAACTCAGTTTATCAAACCAGGAAGGGGAGGAGAAACACAACAAGCGCCACTCAAAATAGAAAGAATCTATGGTCACATCTACAGGCACTTGGGCTACAAATGACTCCACACAGATCCAACCAGCAAGGGCACCTTCCAAGTGTTCCACCAAGGATTCCCACAAGCCATACCCAACCACATCAAGATTGGGATATGAAGAATATGCTCCAACAACTCCTTCAAGGGCAAGCCAAAGGTTCACTCGACATGAACCACAAGCTAGAAATAAACTCAAACTGGAGTCATTGACTTCAAGAGTGCAAACCATTGAGTCTTCTAAGTGCGTCATCCTCTTCATCTCAAGAGTATGCTCAAGCTGTTACACTCAGAAGTGGGCGACAGTTTCCAAGCAGGTAGCCCACCCCAAATCGCTGTGGACATCGATGACGAGGAAGGGGAGGATTTGGTCGAGTATGACGATATTCCGGCACCGAACTCGATCGAGCTGGAACAAAACCCTGAACCAGAACTCGATCGAGCTGAAGAAACCGAGACTCAGAAAGACAAACCAGAGCTCGATCGAGCCGAGAAGAGAACAGACAAAGCAAGCTCCAGCCAACCAGCTAAACCTGTTGCAAAGAAGAAAGACACTCCACCAGGACCACCACCATACAAACCCCCTCTGCCTTTCCAGGAAGGTTCAAGAAACAACTGTTGGAAGCACACAAGGCCAAGTTTGATGAACTAATGAGACAGCTTGAGCTGAAGTTGCCTTTCATCGACGCCTTGATGCTCATTCCACCTTATCAGAAATTCCTGAAGGATGCTGTTCAGCAAAGAACCAGGGAAGCACAAGGGATGGTAGTGTTGACTCGTGAGTGCAGTGCAATCATTCAGCGGAAGGTTATCTCCGACAAAAAGGAAGATCCGGGGAGTTTCACTTTACCCTGCATGTTGGGACCCCTATCTTTCAAAAACAGCCTCTGCGATCTAGGATCATCTGTCAGCCTCATGCCTTTGTCTGTAGCAAAGAGACTGGGATACCACAAGTACCAAGCCTGCGGAATCTCACTAGTCATGGCAGATAGATCAATAAGGTTACCAACTGGAATGCTTGAAGACCTACCTTTGAGGATAGGGAATGTAGAAATCCCCACCGACTTCATTGTGCTTGAAATGGATGAGGAACCAACAGATCCATTGATACTAGGAAGGCCATTCCTAGCTACAGCAAGAGCAATGATAGATGTCTGTGAAGGCACAATTGAGCTAAAACACAATAAAACTCCCCCCAGACTTAACTTGCACCGTCCCTGTAATATCCCGCATCAGAGCCGAATTTTTCCCGCACAATCCCAATCCCAATGGTCCGGATGGGATGATCAACTCTGCAGACGAAGAGAAGATAAAGCTGTTTCAAGAACGGTATGACCGGGATAAGGAATTTCCGGACATTCCGAGCAGCTAAGTGAAAGCTCAAAAGCATGGAACTGTCGAAAGGATTAAAATAGGAAATTTTAATTCTCAAGCACGACGGGGACGAAACCCTCCAGGAAGAGGAAACGTAAGAAACCCTCCTCGAAAGGAAAGAGGCGGATGGAGCAATGGGATGACGACACCAGCTACTTGGAGATATAAGAATGGTCTAAACCAGTAAGGAGGCGACACCAGCAGCTAGATAGGACGGAATTATGCTGGACCAATCATGTGTAAGCATCCAGCTGCTCATAATAGACGAAAATGTGTTGGACGAATCATGTCTAAGCACCCAGCAGCTTGAGGAAGGAGCCAATGGGATGAAGCCACTCATTGCAGGAAGATAGGATCAAGGAGGAGATGGTCATCTTGAATGGACCAATCACGTGCAGCTACCCAGCAGCTTAAAAAATGGACCAATGAGAAGGTGCCATTGTCATGGAAGGATAGGGATTGGTCCAAGCTGCTGGAGGAATGTCTTCACGCCATTGGTTGCATGTAAAGGAGAGGTGTCACGTCCTGAAGCAAGGAGATGCCACCACCAGCTTCCCTCCAAGCCTATAAATAGGAGCCTTTAGCCTCATTTCCAAACCACACCAAAAATCAGAAAGAAAGAGAGAGAAAATAGAGAGAGAAAGAGAGTGAGAGGGAGGACGCCCAGAAGAAGCAGAAGAAGAAAGAGGAGGAGGAGGAGAAGAAGAAGAAAGAGAAGAAGAAGAAGAAGAAGAGAGGGAGCGTTCGGGCAGAAGCTTAGGGCAAGCCGGCGGTTTACGGTAAACCCAGAGTAGTAAACCTAGGCTAGAAACTGTTCAGCCGAAAGCACTGTGAGTTGTGGTGATGTTTGATTGCTTGCTAGGGAATGCTAGATTGTGTGATTGTTGATTGCTTTGATTGTGAGTTGTGGTGATGTTTGATTGCTTGCTAGGGAATGTTAGATTGCTTGATTGATTGATAGTTTGATTGTGAGTTGTGGTGATGTTTGATTGCTTGCTAGGGAATGCTAGATTGCGTGATTGATTGATTTCTTTGATTGTTTGATTGTTTGATTGATTGCTTTGATTGTGTGGTTCTTTGTTATGATGCTTGCTTGTTTGTTAGATCTTGTTTATTGTTATTATATTACATGTGAGGTTACATGGTTACTTGTTTGATGTTGATGTTGGCGGTTTGGTCTTCTTTGGTACCCCTTCCTAGCAAATGGACTGGCTAGGTGGGAAGACTCGGAGAGACGGGATAGCAGCCTATGGCCGAGTACTATTCCACCTCATGTAGTCAATGGATTGACTAATGAGAATACTCGGAGAGACGGGGTTGCTGCCTATGGCCGAGTATGGAATAGACAGCCCGGGACGTGACCATCTGGGAGACAGAACTCGTTGGGTTGTGAACCGTGGAAACGGCGATCCAACGGGATGTGACTGTCTGGGAGATGGAACTCGGGTAGTGATGTTCTATCTCGCGTGCCTGTGTGGCTGTGAGATAGGTGTTCACGGGAAGTACCGAACGCGCAAAAGAGAAAGTGGTTGAGTGTGATGTTAAGTTTATTTATTGCATGTTTGAGCATTGATTGATTGTTGTTGTTTATAATCTCTGATTGATCGTGCATGTTCTTGTTTGATTGTTGTGCGGTCAGTCTAGGGGTTATAGCAACATTGCTTGTTGTGTGTTATTTTGGGTTTTTGGGTTGGGATTATTATTGCTTGTTAGTGGGAGCTACAACTCACTGAGCGATTAGCGCTCACCCCCCACTCTCTTTTGCAGGAAACCAGTAGTTGGAGCAAGGACGTTAGGCCGCCGGCGTAGTTTTTCTTGCCTTTGTAAAATAAACGCTTTTGAATTTATGTAGTGTGGGTTTTGGGCATTAGGCTCGAATGTGATGTATTTCCGATGTTTTGTGAAACCTTATATAGATTAATAAAGTTTATTTTCTATATCAACTGGTTTCATCTGATATTAGCTTTGTCCGGGCTAACACAACTCTCGGCTTTGGTACGGGTTGAAAATCCTTAGGCCGTGGCCAAGAGGGTCGAGCTCGCGGGACGGGCTGACCTGGACTGTGATGTGTTCTTCGTCTGGGACGGCCTATCCAGCAAACCTCGGCAAATTGTGACGCTCACCGGCTTTGTCTATGTGTATAGATCGAGTCGGGGGTGTTACAAATGGTGGTATCAGAGCATGGTTCATGATCATGCTTCATGGGACTCAGTTTTCAAAACGTTTATCGAGTCAAAATGAGTCGCAAAGGCAATTAGGAAGCTGGTACATTCTTGCATATTAGTAAGACAGTTTAGGACTTACCCTTGATGGTTGATACAGCTGTCTGAGAGATGCTTTTCCTTAGGTATAGATTTAGCTAAACCTTCAAGACCCGTTTAAGGTCTCCGGTCAGGTAAGTATGGGTGCTAACTCTCTTATTGGGTGATTGATTGAGTGCTTGTTTGTGTGTTTGAGTGATTGATATATTCGGTTAGGAAATCCTTAGAACCCTTACCCATAGAAAGAAACCTAGGATCCTTCCCATAAACTAATAGAGTTAAAGAAACCGTAGTGGATACCCGTATGGAGAAGAGAGAGTTGCTTCATGGTCAGAATTCGTTGACTAATTCTTTTAAGAGGGGGAGAATGTAATATCCCGCATCAGAGCCGAATTTTTTCCGCACAATCCCAATCCCAATGGTCCGGATGGGATGATCAACTCTGAAGACGAAGAGAAGATAAAGCTGTTTCAAGAACGGTATGACCGGGATAAGGAATTTCCGGACATTTCCGAGCAGCTAAGTGAAAGCTCAAAAGCATGGAACTGACGAAAGGATTAAAATAGGAAATTTTAATTCTCAAGCACGACGGGGACGAAACCCTCCGGAAGAGGAAACGTAAGAAACCCTCCTCGAAAGGAAAGAGGCGGATGGAGCAATGGGATGACGACACCAGCTACTTGGAGATGATAAGAATGGTCTAAACCAGTAAGGAGGCGACACCAGCAGCTACATAGGACGAAATTGTGCTGGACCAATCAAGTGTGAGCACTCAGCTGCTCATAATGGACGAAAATGTGTTGGACGAATCATGTCTAAGCACCCAGCAGCTTGAGGAAGGAGCCAATGGGATGAAGCCACTCATTCCAGGAAGATAGGATCAAGGAGGAGATGGTCATCTTGAATGGACCAATCAGGCAGCTACCCAGCAGCTTAGAAAATGGACCAATGGAAGGTGCCATTGTCATGGAAGGATAGGGATTGGTCCAAGCTGCTGGAGGAATGTCTTCACGCCATTGGTTGCATGTAAAGGAGAGGTGTCACGTCCTGAAGCAAGGAGATGCCACCACCAGCTTCCCTCCAAGCCTATAAATAGGACCTTGCCTCATTTCCAAACCACACCAAAATCAGAAAGAAAGAGAGAGAAAGTAGAGAGAGAAGAGTGAGAGGGAGGACGCCCAGAAGAAGAAGAAGAGAGGAGGAGGAGGAGAGAAGAAGAAGAGAGAAGAAGAAGAAGAAGAAGAAGAGAGGGAGCGTTCGGGCAGAAGCTTAGGGCAAGCCGGCGGTTTAGCGGTAAACCCAGAGTAGTAAACCTAGGCTAGAAACTGTTCAGCCGAAAGCACTGTGAGTTGTGGTGATGTTTGATTGCTTGTTAGGGAATGCTAGATTGTGTGATTGATTGATTGCTTTGATTGTGAGTTGTGGTGATGTTTGATTGCTTGTTAGGGAATGTTAGATTTCTTGATTGATTGATAGTTTGATTGTGAGTTGTGGTGATGTTTGATTGCTTAGGGAATGCTAGATTGCGTGATTGATTGATTGATTGTTTGATTGTTTGATTGATTGCTTTGATTGTGTGGTTCTTTGTTATGATGCTTGCTTGTTTGTTAGATCTTGTTTATTGTTATCATATTGCATGTGAGGTTACATGGTTACTTGTTTGATGTTGATGTTGGCGGTTCGGTCTTCTTTGGTACCCCTTCCTAGCAAATGGACTGGCTAGGTGGGAAGACTCGGAGAGACGGGATAGCAGCCTATGGCCGAGTACTATTCCACCTCATGTAGTCAATGTATTGACTAATGAGAATACTCGGAGAGACGGGGTTGCTGCCTATGGCCGAGTATGGAATAGACAGCCCGGGACGTGACCATCTGGGAGACAGAACTCGTTGGGTTGTGAACCGTGGAAACGGCGATCCAACGGGATGTGACTGTCTGGGAGATGGAACTCGGGTAGTGATGTTCTATCTCGCGTGCCTGTGTGGCTGTGAGATAGGTGTTCACGGGAAGTACCGAACGCGCAAAAGAGAAAGTGGTTGAGTGTGATGTTAAGTTTATTTATTGCATGTTAGCATTGATTGATTGTTGTTGTTTATAATCTCTGATTGATCGTGCATGTTCTTGTTTGATTGTTGTGCGGTCAGTCTAGGGGTTATAGCAACATTGCTTGTTGTGTGTTATTTTGGGTTTTTGGGTTGGGATTATTATTGCTTGTTAGTGGGAGCTACAACTCACTGAGCGATTAGCGCTCACCCCCCCACTCTCTTTTGCAGGAAACCAGTAGTTGGAGCAAGGACGTTAGGCCGCCAGCGTAGTTTGTCTTGCCTTTGTAAAATAAACGCTTTTGAATTTATGTAGTGTGGGTTTTGGGCATTAGGCTCGAATGTGATGTATTTCCGATGTTTTGTGAAACCTTATATAGATTAATAAAGTTTATTTTCTATATCAACTGGTTTCATCTGATATTAGCTTTGTCCGGGCTAACACAACTCTCGGCTTTGGTACGGGTTGAAAAGCCTTAGGCCTTGGCCGAGAGGGTCGAGCTCGCGGGACGGGCTGACCTGGACTGTGATGTGTTCTTCGTCCGGGACGGCCTATCCAGCAAACCTCGGCAAATTGTGACGCTCACCGGCTTTGTCTATGTGTTTAGATCGAGTCGGGGGTGTTACAGTCATAGTCTCCGATTGTAGGTGCTCCGGCTTGGGGTTGTGCATTCACATCTGGAGGAGGACAAGTGGCGTGTCTAACCACATGTTGTTTAGGAAGGTGTAGTCAAGCGCATTCTCGCACGTCAGAGCCCAACCGGATTGGCAGCGTGGAGGCTGTGCATGAAGGGAGGAAGACTCGGAGGATAACCTGGTCAGCTGCCTTGGCCGAGTATGGTACCATATGACGATATGGGATCCAACCAGACATTGGCATGGTGCGCCAGTAAGGCCAATAGATGGGAGGATGAACCGGGTACCGCGATGGACTGTAGTGCCCGGGTGAAGGCGTTCATCTAGTTTCTGTGTGATTCCGGATGAGCGTGAACCTTCACAGGCGTGGGCTGAGAATGTGGCTTATGCACCTAGAGGCCTCACTGCATGTAGAAGTCAAGTATTCCGCTACTTGATTAGGGTTGCTTTGCATATAGATTGATTGTGTGCATTGCTTGATTGATTGATTGCTTGTTTGAGTGTTGTTATAGTCTTGGATTGATCGTACCTGTTCTTGTTTGATTGGGGTACGGTTAGTCTTAAGGCTATAGCAGCAATATTGCATAATTGCTTTGTGTTGCAGGTGGCGGATGAGATCCCGCCTTTTTCTTTTGGGGTTTGGGTTTGGGGAATAACCTTTGTATAGAGGGTCCTGAACTCACTGAGTAACATTAGGTTACTCATGATGATTATTTGTCTTACAGGTAACCCTTAGTTGAAGCCCGTGGACGGGAGGCAGAACAGCTGAAGACCGGAGTAGATTGGCTTGGCTTTTGTAAAACTCGATTTCAGGTTATTATATGCAATAGCTATGCTTTGGGCATTAGGCCTTGCCGGCAAAATAGTATAAAGTTTTGTAAGAACTTGTTTTGACAAGGTTATTATATAAAGTTATTTCTTACAAATCTGGCCTCTCGAATGATATTAGCTCTTGTCCGGAGCTAACACAACTCAAGACCGGAGGAGCAGGTTGCAAAGCCTTAACCGATGGTCGAGAGGGTCGTATTCATCGGATTAGCTGACTTGGGTTAGTCCGCTGCTTTGTATAAAACTGACCAAGAAAAGCTTTCTTGAACTCCATCCATGTAGTGATTGAGCGAGACGGGAGAGACTTGAGCCACTTGAGCGCTTTTCCCGCCAAGGTAAAGTAAAGAGCCGGCATCTCAAGTAGTCGCCCGGGACTCCATTTGCACTAGTTGTGCTGCACAATTCTTCAAAAGAATCGACATGATCCAACGGATCTTCTTCAATAAGCCCGTGGTATTGACTTTGTTTTACCAAAGCGATGACTCGCGGCTTGATCTCAAACTGGTGGCCCTCGTAAGTCCGGATAGGGCTACGGCTTTGGAGAAGCTCTGGTCTAGAGTCACTGTCTCCAACGGTCTCTTGGTTCTCCCCTCCTTGGTGATCGCCTAAGTCTCCTCGGTGTAGCCTATCGGCTCGGTTAAGCTCCGGTCCAAGGCCTTCTCGTGGTATGCGGTCTTGGACCTCGTCCAAAGGCGGCTCATCAAGATGGTTCCTCCAAGGATTTGGTTGCTGGTCACGTACTTCTCCAGCCATGGCACGCTCAAGTTGTGCCTACAAAAAGAACAAAACAATAAAGAGTAAAATGCGCTTTAGTCTAGATTCTCGTCCGATCTTGTAGACAAGAAGGTCCCCGGCAACGGCGCCAAAAACTTGATGCAAGCTGGGTTTGTCTTCAAGTTTTACCCAACTTAAGTACCTGCAAGTGCACAGCAACGAGGTAAGTATAGTATGGGATCGAATCCACAAGGACCTATCGATTGTGCTACAAGAGTAGAGTTGAAGCAAGCTAAAGCAAAATATGGTTTGAGTGTTTTGGCAATAATGAATAAATGGAAATGATGAGATCAATAAGGGGAAACACTAGACAATGGTGGATCGCCGAGATGCAACAAACTTAACAAAGAAGTCAAGTGAAAGAGATTCATTAACCGTTCTTGAACTTAAATCACTAAGATATAGTTTTCCACTTTCGTGGCTCCAACTACTATGTTTAAACAACCTAATAGACTCAGCTTTCGTTGGTTATTAAAAGTTGTAAACATGCATTAAAATGTTCAAGATTTAATTGTTCACAATACTCCACAACTCAACTTTCGTTGGCCGTGAACTATCGCTCACCAAATACTAGTTCCGGCAATATAGCAAGCTTTTGGAGAGTATATTAACCCTAGATCCGATGCTAGATGATCAGAAAAGCAAACGGCATTATGCTCAAGTAAAGGTGAAGAACTCAAAGATATCCCAATTCACAAGATTCTCATTTATAGATTTATGCACTCATTGATCCACCACGGCCTAGTAAGGGATTTACTCGGCCATGGTGCAAACAAACAAACAAGATTTGAATGAAAGCATCATGCGAATATTAAAGAGAAAAAGGGATAAAGAAAGCTTCTCTATTGATGAAAAGATCGAATCCTTCCTTTTAACTCCAAAATCCGGAAAACAAAAGTAACAAGAACAAAGATGTAACGATTTTTGTGTGTTCGTGTGTGCGGCTTGGATCCGAGGAGGCTTCACTTCTTCCTTCTGGGGGTATTCCTCTTCTTCTCTGACGGCGCACACCTTCCACTCTCTAGACTCTCGCGCTCAGCGGCTAAAAACATGTATATATGGGCGAGATCGAGTAGGGTTTTCTTCATGCTGAAAAAGGAAAGTTTCTCATGCGCCGAGCCTTCTTCTCCACGTCGTGTATGGGCCGACATTGTGCCAAGGAAAGCTCCAAACATTAGCCAGGCCTCTTCTCTATTCGATCAAGGCCTTTGGCGCTGCTGCTCGGGCCATTAGACACTCCAAATCCTCCATGGGCTTCGTTTGCTCGCTTACCGGACATGTCTCGGTAGAAAATAAGTCTAGGCCTCATAGTTGATCCAAATGGCTTCATTCCACTTCGACGTGATGCATGACTCAAGTATCTATCTTTCCATATCAAGATCGTAACTTTTGGACGTCGGGAACTCCTCCGCGCGCGGCCAAACTTCCGAAGCTTCGTTCTGCGCGCAGCGAGAACTAACACTTGGAGATAAAATGATCTTCTTGACTTGGAAACTTGCATGGATCTTGATTTAGGGCTCTTTTACTCCTTTTTGCATCCTTTTTGATTATTTCACCTACAAAGACTTCAAATCCCACAAATACAAGAAAACTACCTCTAAAGGCAAAGAATCTTGCAAAAACCGTTTGAAAACATAGGTAATATATAGTAAAATCATGTAAAATATGGTGGTTGACCCGCACCTGGTGCGGGCATAACATCTTTAAAATAAGAAATTTATTCAAATATTTAATTATATAAGTAATATAATTTAAGATGATTGACTTTTAAACTTATATACATATACAAAATTAATGTGATAAAATCATTTAAGTTTCATTACGTTTTAGATGAGTTATTTATAAACTATATCAGTCAATTTCATATATTTTGTACTTTTTCAATATTTTATTATGTTTTTTATTTTATTTTAGTACACAAAACCATATCAATTATTTTAAATTTATTATTTGTTTTCTTTAACGACTTTGTATTCTTATTCTTCATAATTTTTATCTTTCCATTTTTCTAAATTTTTGTTGTTGTTATATTCTTCTATTGTTTTTTTTTTCTTATTTCATTTGTTTGTCATAAAAATAAATATATTAGATGAAGAAAGAGGGAAAAAAACCCTAACTCATTCTTTCATAGATCTAGAAAAGATTCTGCATTGCGCCTCCATGAACTATTTTGAAAAATTAAAACTAAAAATTTGTATCATTTGAAGAACTATCAAATTATACTCATTAAAAATATCTAAATATTCATACCAAACCAAATGTATTATAAAACTGCTTTATAGTTTATATACCATTTTATTCAATTTCATTAATTCTTGTCTTTCAAATCTTTCATGAGTTTTATCCTACACAAGAACAATATTTGTTATTATACAACTTTCATGTATGCAAAAATCAATTAAACTCCGACGATCTCAATTTTTTTCTTTATTGTCTATGTCACATTCTTCTTTTTCCGTTTCTTCCGATTTTTCTTCATCTTTTTCTTTTCTTTCTATTATTCTTCTTCCTTGTAGTTTCATTCTTCTTCAATTAGTTGATCGTCTTCGTATCACTTGACTCTCTTTGATCGTTTGTTTTCCCGAATTCTTTCTTCTTTCATTCGTAACTTTTCTTTTCTAACTTTTTTATTCTTCTCGTTTTAATTTCCTATTTTTCCAACTTTGACTTCTTATTCTTTATGTTCTTATTATCTTTTTTTCTCCTTCTTCTTCATTATTTTTGTCAGATCTGTCATTTTTTTCATTTCTAGTGGTTTTTATTCATCTTCTCAGCTTCTTCTTCGTCTTTTCTGTATGCGGTTAATTAATCCTCTTCTTCTTCTCCAACGATCTAAACTTTTTTTTTCTCTTTTTATCGTCTTTTTCTGATTCATCTTTTTCTTTTCTCTTTCTCTTTTTCATCTTCTCATTCTTGTTTCATCCTTTTCATCTTCTCTAATACTTCCTTATTTTTTTCTGATTTTTCTTTATTTTATTGTTTTCGATATTTCTTCGTCCTCAAGTATTTTATTTACTTCTTATCACATTCGTCTTCTTCAGCTTCTTATTGATCCGCTTTTTTTTTTCTAGGTAAATTAACTAAATTGAAGGATAAATAGCAACTGGCTGCTATACATTTTAGCAAAATTCCTTTATCAAATTCTTAAACCACTGTCGATTTTTCTTCTTCTTCTTCTCCAAATTTCTCATCTTCTTTTTCACTATCTTCTTTTCTTTTACTCCTATTATTATTAGTTCTTGTCTACATCTTGTATTTCAGCTATCAATTCATTCGATACTTTAGCTTTTCAAGAATTTTTGAAATAATTTTCATCTTTGTATAATACATACATTTTAAAAAAATTTTAGTTTTGTAATCTTTTGATATTATATTTAATTAATTTGTTTAGTTTTTTCCTATTTGTGAATGTAATTTAGAAAAATAAATATGAATTTATAATCAATGATTTTTAATTATGATATTCTTTCATAATAATTCAAATTTTTAAAAATGCACCAGAAACTAAATCCCACACCCATCAATATAAAGGGGAAATTTCAAAACTACACCTTTTGATGTGCCAATTTTCAAAAATACACCTCTATGGTGCCAATTTTCAAAACTACACTTTTTTCATTGAGTAAAAGAACTCTAAACCCTAAAATATAAATCCAAAACCCCAAAATCTAACATTGAACCCTTAACTCTAAACCCTAAACCCCAAAATCTAAACCCTAATCTAGGATTAGTGAACCCAAACATATATATTAAAATTGGGGAAATGTGTATTTTTGAAAATTTCCACACTATAGGTGTAGTTTTGAAAATTTACACCTTAAGAGGTGTACTTTATAAATTTTCTCCAATATAAACCCTTCACCCTAAACCCAAACCCCACAGTGTAACACCACCCCCTCCCTCCCCTCAAAAACCCTACACCCAACACCCTAAACCCAACCCCCTCCTTACAATAAGTATTTTTTTTTTATTGTATTCATCGTTTTTGTTTTTGTCTACTTCTTATTCTTATTTTTGTAACTTTGATGTGTTTTATGTTTGTCTTCTCTTTTTCATTTTTTTCTACATAATCTTCCTCGTTCGCTTTGAAATGTACAAAAGATTTACCACTTCTTGTTTTCTTCTCCCTCTTATTATTCTCCAATTATATCATTTTTTCTTCTTTCTTTCAGTTTAATATTTGTATTCTCATCAGCTTTTTCTTCTCCTTCTTCCAATTTTTGTTCTTCAATCTTTTCTTGTGTCTCCATATCTTAAAACTCACTATTCTTCTTCTTCTTTCTAATTTTCTTTACATTCTTTTTCCGATTTTTTTTTCTTCCTCAGACCCCGTCTCTCTATCTTTATCATTTTGTCTTCTATGACATAATATTATTCCAATTTTTTATATATCTCTTCTTTGTTTTCTTTTCTCCTCACATTCTATTTTTTTTTTCTTTTATCACATATTTGATTTTTCTTCTTCTTTGTCTCCAAATTTCTCATCTTCTTTTTCACTATTGTCTTTTCTTTTACTCGTATATTAGTTCTTGTCTACATCTTGTATTTCAGCTATCAATTCATTCCATACTTTAGATTTTCAAGGATTTGTGGAATAATTCTTATCTTTATATAGTCAAGATCTTTTAAAAATCTATTGGTTTTGTTATCTTTCGATTTTATATTTACTTAATTTGTTTACTTTTTTTTTCTATTTGTGAATGTAATTTAGAAAAATAAATATGAATTTATAATAAATGATTTTTTATTATGATATTCTTTCATAATAATTCAAATTTTTAAAAATGCACCAAAAACTAAACCCTACACCCATCAATATAAACTCTTCACCCTAAACCCAAACCCCACAGTGTAACACCAACCCCCTCCCTCCCCTAAAAAACCCTACACCCTACACCCTAAACCCAAACCCCCCTCCCCTACAATAATTATAATTTTTTTACTGTATTCATCATTTTTGTTGTTGTCTACTTTTTATT